CAATGTTGGGGTGAGGGGGAAGTTTCATTTTCTTTTTCACACGGTTCCTTTAAGTCCAAGATGATGACATATATATAGAAGTTTTAAAAAGAAAATAACAGTTATACTTACTATTTATCAATAAGACTGTTATCTTATATTTCTCAAAATGCAAAGGTTTTGACATATTAATGGTATTAATAATACTTGTGCAATGATTGAAGGCAGAAAATCAGTCGCCAGACTATCATAAAAGATATTTTGCCAAAACTGCATCTCAAGCTACCAACTTTTTTATATTTCCATATAAACCACACTCATTCTCCCACATATCCATCTGAACCTACCCATTCTCCCACATATCCATCTGAACCTACCCATTCTCCCACATATCCATCTGAACCTACCCATTCTCCCACATATCCATGTCGGTGTTGGAAGCAGCCATCTTGGCAGGCACCATTTCTTTGCTCATCTCTCTGAGGATCAGCTCTGCGTTGGATGCCACATGATAGTTGAACATGACTTTCACAGCCAAGTTGCAGTCAGCTGATGTGTTGTTATCTGAAATCAGTAATCCACAGCAACAACTTTAGAAGAAAAGAAAGCCAAGTTTACACCTGACCAGGAATAAAGTTAACCTCTTAAAAATATCCACAAAACGATCCAAACTTAGTTAGAGTTCTCTGGGTAAAATAACCACCACACAAAGAAGTGGTGCACTGCTTATGACGGGTGCACTGCATTAAATGGATTTTAAAACAAATATTTTTTCAAGTAACGGAAAATTTCGCTCAGCACTCGATGAATGTTTCATATGCCTGTATAACTCTGGTCACTGACCCTTGAACTCCTTTCCCATATATTCCAATAACTTGATGCATTAACTACCTTGGTGATTCAAGCCCTGTGTGCCTGATTCCAGGTCATCATCACTACAAAAACTGAAGTCAGCTTCATCACCTGATGACATCACCTCTGAGGACTGTTCTGATTGGCTAATCTCAGTAACCTTGACCTGGTCATCAAGTACAGCATCTTCCAATGTTTTCATGGCAACATCAGTGTTAAAAGTAGAGAGCTCCTCTTCTTTTGGTATGTCATAGTCATTGAGAGAAAGGCTGGTGTTTGAGCCTGTATAGAAATATTCTGTGGAAAAAATGAGATATCTAGATAATATTGAAAATCCATCTCCAAGAAGGTTCAAACAAGACTATCCTAAATCAGTCTTTAACAAGCCCTCACATATCATATTATACACTGTTCTGAGTATCATTTAGATATACATACATGCAATTCCATACAAGCAAACTCCACCTGGTTTTAAAAAATCTGAAATTGTTAATTAATTATGTCAAGCTCTGTAAGTAATCACCATGAATGATTTCCAACAATGCACTTTTTACCTGTTAGTTTTGCCTCATACACAGCTGCATTGCAGCCCTTTGCGATTATGTTTCCAAATGTATAATCTTCAAGGCAGAATCCAATTTCTGTTGAACAGGGTTTGGCCTCAACTTTTTCATATGATGATTTGAAAAGCTCCTGTAAGTGGACAGAGGAAAAAATGTTCATTTAAAAATTTCCACGCAAAGCCATTCCCATTGTTTTTCTGTTAATTAATTTAATGATAAACTAGACAGGCATTAGTTATTAATTCTCACAAATGTTCAATTATGGAGATGAAATCATGGCATAATTTTTAATAAAAAAAGTGAACTTGCTTTTCACAATGAAAATATAATCTTTTCCAAAATGTTTACCCCAGGATGCTGTTTACAGTATCACTAGCCCTCAAATAATTGAAACTTTATTTTTAAAGATAATTCCAATTTTTTAAATCAAAAATGCTCACTTGAATCTCACTGCAGAGCAGATCTTCAGTTTTTGCCTCCGAAGCATTTAGATTGCTGACTAAACCAAATCCTACTAATCCTAGAGCAGGGACGCGTCCGCCAGATCTGACCTGGTTAAGTGCTGCGAAACGCTGTGCTGCAACTCGATGAATCTGTGCTGGTAACTTGAAATAGCTGTAATGTAGAATGAATGACTGCTTTAAATTGTAACAAATTTAAAGCCCACAAATGAGAAAAATAGAATTTCCAGCTTTATTTTTAAACCCAAAATGGACAAGTCAGAGATCTTTCCATGCATATTGATTATGGATCATTTTGTTTTACAAGCCAAAAATTATCATAAAATGTTTAATCAATGTAAATAACTCTGAAAGTAACTGTCACTGACAAAATAAACTTGGCAATTATAAAGTATGAGATATATATTTGATTTTTACTAGATAACCTCATTAACTATGGGAGTATTAACCTCCATCAGGGAATGAGGTTATCCAGGTGAAATGCTTCTATCAAGGGGACATACTTGGAGGTAAACAGTTTCAATATAAGCTGCTGATTGAAGAAAAAATCACTTCTTTATTCATACTAAACTTAACACAGCTGATGAAATTCTCCTCCGATTTAAACCTGCGGCCGTAGCAATAGTCGAAAGGTTCATTGGTCCGAATGTTCACTATAGAACCTTAAGATCAGTGAACCCTCGATTAAAAACCAATTAAAATGTTACCATTTTTGGGACCAATGAACCTTCGGACAAACAAGATGCCCTCTTTAAATCTCACCTCCTGACTGATGTCTTCCATGCCTCTTGCCTCGTCACCAGCTCTCTTGCAGGATAACCAAATGCACTTTCTGAAAACACATAATTCACAACTGGTTAGTAATCTTTTACGTCAAAATATTCTTCTTACACATAACCGGGGGGGG